CAATGTTGTTTATGTACCTTCTGTGAAGAGGAATTTAATTTCAACTTCTGCATTGGATATTTGTGGCTATTCATTCTTCCAAGGAAATGGAAAAATTGACATTTATTTTGATTCCATTAATATTGGTGTCGCTTCCTTGATATATGGTTTATATCGATTGAATGATTGGTCACTTGAACTTCCTAATCTTCATGTCAATGCTGCTATTGGGCATAAACGTCAAAGGCCCAATGATAATTCCTCTATGTTATGGCATCGTCGTTTGGGTCATATCTCTAGAGAGAGATTGGAGCGCATGATCAAACAAGGCGTCTTACGAGACCTTGATTTCTCAGATTTTGAGACTTGTGTTGACTGTATAAAGGGAAAATTCCCTACTAGAGCTAGAACCAAAAGTGCAAAGAGGTTTGAAAACACTTTAGACCTAATCCATACTGATATCTGTGGACCTATCACGCCTCTGGCTATGGGTGGTTTCAGATATTTCATCACCTTCACGGATGATTACTCCCGTCATGGATGGATTGAACTCTTGCATGAAAAGGGCGAGTCCCTTAATGCATTCAAGACCTTTAAAGCAGCAGTCGAATTAAAATCTGGCAAGTTGATCAAGTGTGTGAGATCTGATAGAGGAGGAGAATTTTATGGGAGATATACTGAGACTGGCAGGAACCCTGGGCCATTTGCTTTGTACCTTCAAGAGCATGGCATTGAAGCTCAGTATACTATGCCTGGCACCCCACAGTAAAATGGGGTTGCAGAAAGGCGAAATTGTACTCTCATGGATATGGTTAGGAGCATGATCAGTCACTCCTCAATGCCGGAATTCTTGTAGGGTGATGCACTTAAAACTACTGTTTATATTTTAAATCAAGTTCCTAGCAAGTCAGTTCCAAAGACTCCATATGAGTTGTATTTTGGAAGGACTCCTGCGCTGAAGCATATGCGAGTTTGGGTTGTAAAGCACAGGTAAAACCTTACAATCCACAACAGATGAAGCTTGATGCTAAAACTATTGATGGTTTCTTTATTGGCTATTGCATCGGATCTCGTGGGTACAGATTCTATTGTCCAAATCACACTACTAGGGTAATTGAATTGACCGAGCTTACTTCTTTGAAGATGCCTTAGACAGTGGGAGCTTTGTGCCTAGGCATATTACCTTGCATGACGAAAGTAGCATTTTGCCTCTACCTATCTTGACAACTCCTCATGTTGACAGAGATAATGCCGTGGATCAGAATGAAGCTCAAGATGAACCACCTTTAGAGGGTGATAGGGACATGGTTGTTGAACCGAGACGGTCCCAAAGGGTTCGCAGGTCTGCTATTCCAGATGATTACATGGTATATTTGCAGGAATTTGATTCAGATGCTATTGATAGCTTAGACCCAATGTGTTACCAGGAGGCTATTTCTAGCTCACATTCTTCTGAATGGTTGGAGGCTATGAGTGAAGAAATTACCTCTATGTACCTCTATGTACCGCAATCATGTATGGGAGCTTGTAGAGCTACCAAAGGGGTTTAAACCAGTGGGCTGCAAGTGGGTCTTCAAAACAAAACGAGGAGCTAGAGGTGAAATTGATAGATATAAAGCCAAACTTATAGCTAAAGGCTACAACCAGAAAGAAGGTATTGATTACACAAAAACCTTCTCTCCGATATCCACCAAAGATGCTTTTAGAGTGGTAATGGCTTTAGTTGCACAGCTTGATCTTGATCTTCACCAGATGGATGTCAAGATGCGTTCTTGAATGGCATTTGTATGAAGAAGTCTACATGACACAACCTGATGGTTTTGTTGAATCCGGTAAAGAACATCTAGTGTGCAAATTAAAGAGATCCATCTATTGGCTAAAACAGCCTCTAGGCAGTAGTATCTGAAATTTAATGAAGTTATCACCTCTCTCGGTTTTGTTGAGAATGTCTCAAATCAGTGCATCTATCAAAAGTTTGATGGGAACAATTTTGCGATTCTTGTTCTCTATGTTGATAATATCTTATTAGCTAGCAATTCAATAAATTTCCTCATTGAGATAAAGCACCTATTGTCTTGCCATTTTGACATGAAGGATATGGGTGAAGCCTCCTTTGTTCTTGGGATACAAATTCATCGTGATAGATCTCGTGGTGTTCTTGGTTTATCACAGGCCACTTATATTGAGCGGGTATTTAAGAGATTCAAAATGGATTCATGTTCTCCTTCACCTGCTCCTGTACAGAAAGGTGAGCTGTTGTCAAAGTTACAGTGTCCCAAGAATGATAAGAAGAGGGCTGAAATGATAAAGATACCATACGCTTCCGCTGTTGGCAGCCTTATGTATGTTCAAGTGTGTACTCGACCAGATATAGCCTTTGCCATTGGAGTGCTGGGTCGATACTTAAATGATCCAGGTCCGGATCATTGGAAGGCTGCTAAGAAAGTTATGAGGTATCTTCAAGGTACAAAGGATCATATGTTGACTTACAGAAGGTCAAATTCTCTTGAGGTTGTTGGGTATTCTGATTATGACTTTAAAGGATCAGAAGATCTTGAGATTGTTGGCTTTTCAGATTCAAATTTTGCCTTTGTTTGGATGATCGTAAATCCACGACTGGCTATATTTTCATGTTGTCTGGAGGAGCTGTCTCTTGGAAGAGTGTGAAACAGACACTTACGGCAGTTTCATCTATGGAAGCTGAGTATATTGCTTGCTTTGAGACTACACGTCATGCTATATGGCTGAGGAAGTTGATATCTGGCATGCACCTAGTTGAGTCAATATCACGTCCTCTGACCATTTATTGTGATAACAAATCGGCAGTATACTATGCTAACAATCACAGAAATTCCAGTCGTACAAAACATTTTGATATCAAACTTATGTTTGTGAAAGAGAAAATTGTTGAGTCTCAAACCCGTGTGGTACACATTCCTGGCACACAGATGCTTGCAGATCCGCTGACTAAGGGCTTACCTGTAGAAGTTTTTCAAAATCATGTAACTTGTATGGGTATTGTGAATTCCCTTAATGCCCTAGTTTAGTGGGAGTTTGAGAACTTTTATGTTGCGATTTCTCTTTAGGCTTTGTTTTTCTTCTGTGAGTTATGTTCAGTTCAGTTAGATGCGTCTATATCATTTGTATCCCTATAGGATTCAATGATTTTGTTGTGGTATGCTATGCATGTCACTTGCTTCCCCATAGGAATCAGTGATTTATGTTGTTATCTTATTGAGCTGTGTTTGAAATAAAATTTCATAATTTACTCAGATTATGAGATATCATATCACTTGTTTCCCCATAGGATTCAGTGATTTTGTGGAGTTTCATTTTCTGAATTTGTTTGTGGCTTGTTTATACAACTTGCTTAATTAATGCAATTCAAGTGGGAGATTGTTGGAATATTATTTATGAATTAGCATTAATTAGTAAGCCCAATAAATTGGTCCTTATGATCTTGTGTGGACCGTGATAGGTGGACCACACAAGTGAGCCCAATAGGCAGAGGCCCAACCCACAACCCAGTAGCCGTCAGTTATTTCCTATCTCTTACTGACTGAGTCGGAGATAATAGATAATATAATTATTTAATTATTTAATAAGGCGGTTATCGATCTGATCTATATAAGACGATTAGTCGGTAACCACAAACACACGACTGATTTTCCTCTACTTCCATTATCTCTGAACTCTCAGAAGGCTCTGGGGACCTGAGGGTTGTGTACCTGCCTATACTCAAGGTAATCGAGATTTCTCTAGCATTCATGGATTCTTCAGGTACGTATGAATTACTTTATTCTATCATATTATTATTATACATATGAATTGAGATACAGATTCAACAATATTGACATATTTGTGTGTATTTGTGAGTGTGTTTCCCCTTTTTTTAATGAGAAGGGCTAGGTCAGGGGTAATTTTTTTTTAATTTACAAAAAAAGCAACTAACTTGAAGATGTTGTCATTGACTTTGATGACCGTCTCTCCACAGTGGGCGGGGCTATTAGCAGAGGTTGTGGAAGAAGAAGGAGCAGCGCAGGGCCGTCGTTGTTGTTCTTGCTAATCACCTCCATTCCAATGTGGTTGTCCTTGCAAGCTTCCTTTGATGCCATCGTAGGAGTCGGGTGTTTCAAGGCTCCCTCACCAATGTTTGATGATCAATAGGGGACAAAACAAGGAAAAAATAAAAGAGATATGATGGAGGGTATGGTGGTTTGAAGAACTAATTTTAAGGAATTAACTAATTTCATCCTCAATATGATAGAATTCAATTTAAAAAAATTTTCTTGAATTTGAATTTCTAAGAATCACAATTCAAGTGTATCAAACTTGACTCCATCAAAATTTTGTTTCCATTTTTAGTTCTTCTTGCATGATTCTTACATACCAAACATGGCCTTAGTTATTATGTGTTTTTGCATTGCCTCATTATCTTCATTTCCATTTCCCATAGGGCTCTTATTAAATCACACTTTTCCATCTTGCAAGTGAAACAATGGGGAGTGCTTATGCTCTTGAAATAGTTGGAATATTGGATTATGCAACATAGAGATACTGAGAGGAGAGTACTACCAATTAGCAACACGATGAAGAATTATCTTGAAATTTCACAAAAGGTGTAAATATACTAAGTCCTATGAAATGCATGAACATCTCTCATGTTCTCCTAAGTGTCTTACTTGAAAATAAGTTTTAATGCTTAATCATTAAATTACCTTTATTTTTTATTTTTTTAAAAAAATTATGTTACATTTGAGTTAATAAAAATTTGGATTTGACTTTAAAATTATACACTCTTATTATATTTATTTTTATTTAATAAAATATTTCAATTAAAAATTTTTGTAAATTACATCCTTAATCAACGATATTTTTTTAAAAAAACCTTAATAACTATAGTTTGAAAAATTTAAAATATTTTATATTCTTAAACATAATATTTAAAAAAAAAACAACTATAATATATTCTATGCTCTTTTTCCCCAAAAAAAAAAAATCTATGATCTCGCAATCAAACGTTGCCCGTGCGAACGCTTGTTTAGTTGTGTCGTGATAAGCGGGTTAGTGGTGATTTCGAAGTATTAACGACCGCAAGTTCCTGTGGCGGTTGTGGAGTGGTCACTCATCTTCATCTCCATGCAAATCGACACTGTCCCTGGCTCTCCTTGTTTCTCTGGTACTGTATCTTTTTCCTCCGTAATTCGATTTTAATCTATAACTGGGACTTAAAATGAAGTCTTCCTCCTAAAATCAAAGCAAATCTTTGTTTGATGCGATCCTGATAAGTGATAAGTTGATTCTGATATATTGCCAGGGTTATCTGATTCTTGATGAGTATTCGTTTTAATTAGTGTTGATAGGTTTGTCCCATTAGCTCAATTCAGTATTGGCATTTTGTCATAATAAGCTTTGCCTAACTTCAATATTTTGATGGTTTCTGATATGATCAATCCTTCTGTTTCTGAAATAGAAGAGATGGTTGAGAAATACCTTTTATAACGATAAATGTATTGAGGATGCTTGCAAGTTGCGAAGGAGCTCAATGTTGGGAAATTACACTCAATGTCCAAAATTATGTTTGTGTTATGAGTAGCTAGCTCTCTTCCTTATCATACAGTACGAAGCAGTTTTCTCTGTGTGCTAATTATGCTTATTTCAGGGAGAATTTTTTATTATGTATTTCTAGAGGATTAAGAATTTTGCTTATTTCAGGAAGTGTGTTCTTTCTGGGGGGTCATCAACTAAGCAGGTGGAAGACTTACAATGGATGTAATCTGGATATGAGATTTTTGTAACTAGATTATTTCATAAGAATCAGAAGGGTGACAAGAGATGCATCTCAAAATGTATTGGAGCACCTGTATCCTGTTCAGCGGCGACTAGGAGTGATTCCTTTATACCTTCTAAAGAGCAGCTAATTGATGCGCGATTGATATATTCTGTTGCTCCAGCCATGGGCCACAACCAAGTATATTTGCTGATTCCTTCATTATTTTACCATTTTTCCTTAGAAGCATGACATGATAACTAGATAAGACTCACAAATTTGTGGTTCTGCGAAAGTTTTTGGGCCTGATTGTAATAGTTTAAAATTCATCGCACAAATCGGTGATAATCAGTGAAATAAAACTGGTGGCTTTGAGCTACCTTTACTCAAACTGTATTATTTCATCTGCACCAAATCCTTTCCCAGTCGCCTTTTGTTAAGTTACTTGTATGATTAAGGAGGTAGTTACAATATTTAGTTAATCACTAACTACTTATTTAGCTAACAGTGAGTACAGACTTCCTTTAGTAACTAACTATGATAATTAACTTTAATTACTAGCACCATGTATCGGTAGCTTCCCAAGTTCTCTTAAATTGGATTTTTTTTTTTTTTATGCATTCATATATATGCTTAGTCAAGGAATATGTGTTCTAGACTAATAAATATGACTGCTGTCACCTGAATAAACTTTAAAGGAGAGTAAAAAAAGAACAAAGAATTTGATAAGTTTGTGATGGCTAAACACAACTGGCACAAACTACAAAGGATTAATAGAATGAGACAGAAGAAGCAATTTGCTGATAAGATGTAGCACGTATATTTTCTTAGTGCCTTTTTCCAACCTTTATATCTGCAATTATGCATACTGCCTTAGTTATGAATTATCAACTAGTACCTAAGACAGCACTGTAGATGGGAATTTGTATGGAATTTTTGTGAGTGCCTTAGTCATGCTTGTTGCATATCATTGTTCTTATATATTTAGTTATGGAACTCAATTAGAAGATTCTTGTTGCTCATATTTCAATTTTTTTTTCCTTCTAAAAATGACCATTTGTGCTGTTCTTTTGCCTTAATTTTTTTTTTTTTTTGGGGCAAGTCAGAGACTCCAATGGAGACTTTATGCTCTATGGCAAAACATAATGAATCTTTCCTCCTATTTCTTTTTTTTTTTAATATGTTGCTTCTATGTTTGATCTTTTCACGCTGGTTTGATTGCAATCCATTTCTTACAGGAATCTCATCCAGAATCACATTTTAGGGTTCCTGCAATTGTGAATGCTCTTGAAGAAATGAAGCTCACTTCAAAGGTGCTAAAAGCAATGGAAATCGTACTTCAGTAGCTTATTGTTTTTCATCTATATTGGTCTTTGCAATATCGTCTTAACCAGGTTATAATGTAAAAACACTGTTCTGATTAGTCATACTTGTATAGTGGCCTCTTGTGGCATACAATAAAAGTACAATCATATCTGCAACCACTTATTTGTTTAATGTAATCAGTTCCGGGGTTCTGAGATCATTGAACTTCAAAACTTTGTGCCTGCCTCAGTAGATGATGTCACAAGTGTTCATGCTAGAGCCTATGTGTCTGGCCTCGAGAAGGTATACTTTTTATCTTTTCAAGTAGTTCTCCTTCACTTCAGTTATTCCTTTTGTGTGAGGTTATATAACTTATAATGTATCCTTGTAGGTTGTGGCTAGAAAGTTCGTATACTAAACTGCTGATCTCTTTCAAATTGCCTCTGTCTCTTATTATGCCTTTCATTTTTTGTGCCTTTACCCCCCTTTGGAATTTATGATACTGAAAATTTTTTGATTGTTGTATGAGTGCTTTGACATTATATGTCTTGCACATGGTTATTTATTGATTAATTTTATTTTATGCATATTTTCTTCTGGTTTAGTTGTGAAATGATGTAAAAAACAAAAAAGTATGGATAAATATTGCTGGCTCAATTGGCCACTGGATAACAGACATATAACTAATGTCTTCATTTCAGTCAGTTCTCTATGATCACAGTTTTCACGTTTTATCGCAGTCCCTTGGCACTGTTAATAAAGTTATTTTCCTAAAGCATTACCTTTTGTATTTAATATGACTTTAACTTCAGTTGAAAATTTCAAAATTTTGATAGTTACCCCTTCTGAATGTTGTAGGCTATGGGTCAAGCTTCAGAGAAAGGCCTTATTTTCATTGATGGCTCTGGACCAACATATGCTACAGCCACTGTAACACCCTAAAGTTTCTCCCTCCTCTTTTTTTCTTTTCTTTTCTTTGTTCTAAGCTTATATATTTGCAGAAGATCATTCTATTCAACACACTTTATACGTTGTTGTAGTCGAAGATGCATCTATCCTGCTTGGAGTACTGTGACGTTTTCATCTGTTTGCTCTCTGATGGTAGTGCTAATAATGCAGACATTCCAGGAGTCATTAGTTGCTGCTGGAGCCGGATTAGCCTTAGTTGACTCAGTGGTGATGTCTCCACCTCGCATGACCATCTCTTAGTGATAATCTGTGTGTGTTTTGGGGAGGGGTAAGTGGGTCTGTGGGCGGATCATTGGATATATATATATATATATATATTCATGCTTCTTATGGTTGTGCTTGTGGCCATATTGGAAAAAAATGTCTGTTGTTGGAAAAATTTAAACTTGGATCCATTCGGACCCAATGCTGATTCCAAGAGAGCATAATGCCACCATTCACTTTAAGACTGCTCCAAACTGGCAGTCAAGTTGATTTTAGTTTGATTTGAAATTAAGCGTAACATATTTTCTTTTCTTGATTTTGTAGTTCATCTTTCTAAAACTAATTTTAGGTAGGATGTTCTTACGCTGATTTTGACCCTATAGATGCATAGTTTGATCTATGTATCTTTCCTTTTGAGTGGGAAGGGGGAGGCAGTTGCTTGTGTCACGAATTATGGAAACAGCCTCTGTGGTGGTTTCTTCCATCCATTGTAAACGCACTGGATAATAAATTTTAATGTTCATTTTCATATGCAGGTTGCAGCGTCAGAGAACAGCCTAGATCCACCCACTGGTTTTGCTTTGATAAGACCACCTGGACATCATGCTGTTCCACAAGGGCCTATGGGCTTCTGTGTTTTTGGAAATGTGGCCATTGCTGCTCGTTATGCTCAACGTGTACATGGACTAAAGCGTGTATTTATAATTGATTTCGATGTCCACCATGGGAATGGAACGAATGATGCTTTCTATGATGATCCAGATATATTTTTCCTCTCAACTCACCAAGTAAGACAAAAACTGGTTCAGATTTCTAAATATAATCCCATGCTTTATTGATTCTCAAGGCTCATATCTTATGAAAACTTGGCTTTTCTTCCCATGATTTTAGTTTTAATTGTTGAGTTTTGGAGCCCATGTCACTCAGAGTAAGCTTCAGTTGTATTATTTCAGTCATGTGCTGTTGCAAATATAAGCTTCACTACATTGTAACTGTTGTGCGGTTGAAGCTTGGAATTGGACAATGACATGAGACACTGGACATGGAGACATGATGAAACCTGAAGTGTCCATATGTAGTTTAAAGTGTCCATATGTAGTTTAAAGTGCCGAATGGTATCTCATCATATCCGATATGAGTGTCCAACATGGGTTAGATTTGGTCACCAATTTTCTGAAATTTCCTTGCAAACCTGCTTAACTGGGTAGAAATAAATGTACTATATTTTTCTTCAAAAAAGAGTTCTGTATGTTCTGATTCCATTCTTCATTTGTTTCCATCCAGTTGCCTGAAATCTATTGAACCAAATTTCACATCTTTTCTTCAGCTCTCGTTGTAAGCTTAAATTAAGTGACTTTGCATCTTGGAAAGCTCTCAAGTCTTTGGCTATATTTGAGCATTTTTATGACTCAGGATGGAAGCTATCCTGGCACTGGTAAGTTTGATGAGGTGGGAGCTGGAGATGGAGAAGGAACCACATTAAACCTGCCTCTTCCAGGAGGATCAGGTGATACTACTATGCGAACTGTGTTTGATGAAGTCATTGTGCCCTCTGCTCAGAGGTTTAAGCCAGACATCATTCTTGTTTCTGCCGGGTGAGCCTTCTATAAGCCATTATTGTCAAAGCAAAGATTGGATGAAAAACTAAATGACTGTTAGTAACTTTCATGTCCACGTACTTGTCAAGTTACGGGGTTAAAGACACTGGCCAACTGAATCCAACCATCAAATTTGAATTGGATCCCTAAAGCAAATAATGAACTCCCTTGTGTTATTTGTTTTTGCCAACAGAGTTTGAGCTGGAATTTCCTGTGATTTCATTTGTTAGGTATGATGCTCATGTGTTGGATCCACTAGCCAATCTGCAGTACACAACAGGAACATACTACATGCTTGCATCCAATATAAAACAATTAGCAAAAGAATTATGCGGAGGCCGCTGTGTGTTTTTCTTGGAGGGAGGATATAATCTCAAATCTCTTTCACATTCAGTGGCAGACTCATTCCGTGCCTTTCTCGGTGATCGGAGTTTGGCATCTGAGTTTGATGACCCAAAGATTCTCTATGAAGAGCCATCAACAAGGGTTAAGCAAGCAATCGATAGGATAAAAGCCATACATTCCCTGTGAAATTCCTAGTAAAAATCAGATCTAGCTTGTATGTAACTTTTCCTTTTCTACATCTCAATGACTTGATGTATTGATGCGTGTGCATGGTCCCACTTCACAAATAGTACCCATTGTGAAGGATTGCTCCAAAAAAGAATCATGTCGTTTTGATATCAGTGACTTTTTTTTAATCTCTTTTTGGTCTCACAAGAAATTATGCAATTCCTAACGTGCAGGTAATTAAGCAGAATGGAAAGATATCATGCAGTGGGGTCTTTAATCTTTGTGGAAGACAGCCTATGGAGGTGCCTGGTACGAAAGCAACAGAGTCTTCATGTAAAAGCTTTGTAACAATAAGACAAAATTTTCACATTGAAAAGGCGCCTTCACGATATACTTCCCTATAAACTTTTAGTCTTCTGAGGCAGAAGGTAAGTTTCAAGTGCCATAATTGTTACACAGTAAAACATGTGTCAGGATCAATTTGTTGCCGACTAAAATAACCAAACGAGAACTTCGGGATGCCAGTGTCCACAAAAACAAATACTTACGTTTTAGATAAGCTTGATTATGTCTGATGAAACTGATACTAAACCTTAAAGTCGTTGACAATGGGTGGCTAATTGTTTACGTGATGGAACAAGATTCCCACTCTAGTTTTGTTTCTAGTTATCTTATTGACTAGAAAGGTTCAGAATGGATAGAAGAAAACGAAGTTTACTAGGAATACAATTAATTGAAGGACAAAGGTGATCATGATAGCTTTAGGTACACGACTAGTCTAATTTTGCAAGTACAAGCAAATTACAAATCTTAAAAATGGAGGGGGAAAAAAGGGGGGAAAAAAAAAGAATGAATGATATAGAGGTTTTAAAAGGATAAATTAATTCAATTTATATTTTAAATGTTAAATTTTATAAATTTATAAATGTTAAATTTTATAAATTTATAACTTTGACTTTTAAATTTGCAAAAGTTATAAATTTATTTTTCTTATTAAAATTTAATATGATTGAAAAATAAATAAATTTATTTTTCTTAACTTTGAATAGAAGTTACAAATTTATTAAAATAAAATTGCAAAATAATCAAACTTATAATTTTTTAAAATTTAACATTTAAAACCTACATTAAATTAATTAAAATAAGATCTTTCTGTCATCCTCCAAAAAAAAAATGGAGATTTGGCAGCAAAATTATATGTTAATCTATTGTCTTCGAAGGAACCTTCTAGATCCACGCCGGTACAATTGATTTGACTTGATCTGACTTCCCTGATAATTTTTTTAAAGACATTTAAATTTTTAAAAATAAATTAATTATAATTAGGTCATCGTCAAAATATTTTTAAAAATAAATTAAAGATATGAATTCAGATGATTCAAAATTCAAGCATTTAAATTAAAAATAAAATATTTAAGTTTTACGTGTTTTTATTTAAATTGATAATTAGATTATGATTAAAATTTTTATTTATAATTATTTGAATTGACCATTGCAACTCATTTTTTATATAAAATTTTGTTAAGGAGTTAATTGTCATTATTTTTTTTTTTCAGACATCGTTATTCTCCTTTTTTTTCTTTTATATCTAGAGTTCATTGGTAGAGTAAAATTGTGAGAGAAGTTTTTTAATCACCAAAATACATGTGTTGAATTGTCATTAGGAGGGAGGGGACATGATTATATTGATAAGCACAACGCTAAACTTGATCATTGCTTCTTCCATATGAATTCCTTCCACAGATCCAGTGGGAAACCACTTCCTTTTGAAAGGGAAAGACAGCTGCTTAACGTTCTGCGCATCATGGATTATGCTTGCCCGTAAGACAAGAAATGATTTTAAAAATCAAACTTTGAGAACTAAATGTGAAAATTTTCCCATTTCAACTTTAAGTGTCAAAGTATCGAAGCTGGTTTTGTTAGGTTTCAGGACCCTACTTTCTCATGATGTACAGTCCACATAGCGCCGCCTTTTGTATTGCAAGTTGCAATAACTCCATGCTTTCTTTCTTTTGAATCATAATCAACCGGAAGCTTTCTCCCTCTTCCCTCAACTATTTTACCTGCGTGTGTGTGTATAAATCACCAAGCTAGAGTCGGCGTCAAAATCCACAGCTAAAATCTCAAAGTACAGGAAATATTATGGGAAGTGAAAGGGTGAATCTTCCACCTGGCTTTCTCTTCTCTCCAACAGATGAGGAACTGGTTCTTCACTTTCTTTATCCCAAGGCTTCTCTTCTACCCTGCCATCCCAATATCATCCCTGATCTTGATCTCTCTCTCTCTCAGCCTTTCCAGCTCAACGGTATGCACGCACACGCGCGCACACACACATATCTGACATGACTGTTCAGAGTAATATGTTGTGTTCTGAATCTTTGTTAAATTAACCTTGTGTTTGTACCAGGGAAGGCGTTGTCAAGTGGAAACCAATTCTATTTCTTCACCAAGTATAAGAAAAAAAGAGCGACAGAAAGTGGGTATTGGAAGAAAATAGGAGTAACTGAGTCAGTAGTCTCAGCTGCTGGAAAGAAAGTTGGGATCAAGAAATATTTAGTATTCAATAATGGAGAAGCTCCTCATGACACTGAAACCAGCTGGGTCATGCAAGAGTACCATCTTTGCTCTTCTGGGTCTCACAATACGTCTCGTATAAACACTAGAGGAACTCCAAAACCAGTAAGTTATTTAGTTATATGTTATATATAGTTTGGCCAATCCAGTATATATTCACAATTTCTCATGGAGATTGATTGAAAATTGATGAGCTGTTTTGTCCTGTTGATTCAATCTAAAGGATGCAAGTGAATGGGTCCTGTGCCGAGTCTATGAAAAGAAGAGAGGCTCTGAAGATGATGATGAAGGTGGAAATACGGAGCTTTCATGGATGGATCAAATGTATATGTCGACGTTGGATGATGAAGAAGAAGAAATTACCTTCCCTAATTAGATTCAAAGCTTGGTTTACATGTACACCATCTTGTTGTTAGTTGCATGCTTTGTTATTATTACAATATTATCTTTTCAATCTCTTCCTAGGCTTTGCATGTTTGCTTTGCCAATATCAAATCTTTCATAATTCCGCGTAAGGGCTGTAAAAAGTAAAACTTTTATAATTAAAAAAATAGCAAAAATCGCATTGAAGAGCAGTGGAATATATTAATTGTGAAAATGGATTAAAGTATTCTAAATTTACTGTGAAATCCTTGACGTCACATCTAAGAAAAAGAGTGGAGGAGCAAATATTTAAAAAAAAAATCATGGCCTTCATTTTCAATTATTACACTTGTTAAATTATTATTGTTACTTGTCATTCTTATATGCATGCTCATTAAAACAATTCACTCACATGTCATTTTCTACCACCATAATTTTTAAAACATTGTACATGTTACTCCCTCTGTTAAAAAATATAAAACATTTTTAACCGAATCTCACCTCTCAATAAAGTAATTACCTACTTTCAAACTAACCCTATCTTTTCATATTTATCTCTATTAATCACCCTATAATAAATATAAAGTCATTATCAATAGGGACACTTATAAAAAAAAGACAATAATTACACCTTGAAAGACAAAATGCTTTATATTTTTAAATATCCAACTCTTCAAAAAATACCTTACGTTTTTGAACGAATAGAGTATCTCTTGTATTTGTGGTATGGTCATTTGTCATTTTCTTGTACATGTTTGTTAAAACAATATCATTACTTGTCATTTCTCACCATCACAATTTTTAGAACATCATACTAGTCATTTTTCACACTTAAGTTTGTAAATGACATTATGGTTATTTGTCATTTTACATGTGCCTGCTTGCCAAAACAATATACTCAATTATGTTTTTACTAGCATGCTTGTTAAAATATTACATTTTGTATTTTTCACACTTATGCTTGTTAAAGCTATTATCATTATTTGTCATTTTCTATATGCATGTTCGTCAAAATATTTCTACCGGCTAAAATTTAGAAGGGTTACTTTTGTCTTATCATCTTCAATTTTATTGTCAGATTTGACATCAGGGACTATAATAAATTTAGATTACTTTGGTCCTTTTTCACAATTAATGTGTTCTTACAGCCCTTCAATGTGGTTTTCCCCCAAACAAAATTATATCATATATCACGCAATTTTTTTGCCATCAATATGATGCAATTATTTGCTACATAATAATGCTTTATATAAAAATTAGCATGAGAATTGATTCTTTCAACATAAACATGATGTGCTTGGAACTGATTACTAAATTATGCTCATTCAAAATTGGAGCAAGGGCAAGCAGCCTTAGGACCTTGTGTGTGTATTTTAATTTTTGTCCAATAAATAAATATTTAATTCAAAATTCATGACTAATTTATAAAATTACAATAAAAATAATCGATAATTGCTATCAAACACTTGAACCAATATAAAATGGTCTAGCAATAATCTAAAGGGAGGCCATAATTCTTGGTCGTTACATTTTATTCCACTTTCATTACCTTTGTCTTCATCATTACTAATTGTAACTGTGGTATTTTTTCTGTAAAAAATATTCCCTTCATTTCAAATTATAAAAAACTTTTGAAGGAATTTTTTTATCTCAAAATATAAGACACTTTGAGTAGATTAAGGTTTCATTAAATGCACCAATTACAATATTACCTTTTCTCTCTCTATAATTAATATTTGTTTCTTTTTTTTAATATATTAAATGATGGGTATTCTTGAAAGTTTATATTTTTATTTTAGAAAGATAAGATTGTTAAGTATATTTAATAAAGTTTATTAATATGTAAAATTTTATCTAAAAATATCTTATAATTTAGGACGGAGGGAGTATAAGATATTTTTAACTAAATCTTACCCCTAATAAAGTAGTTACTTATTTTCAAACTAATACAATCTTTCTATAGTTATTGCTATTTAATAGGATGTTTTACTCTAAAATAAATATAAAACAATTTATTCATTAAAAACACTTTTGAGAAAAATGCAATGATTACACTTTGAAAGATTAAAAATATTTTACATTTTTTAACATATAACTTTTAAAAAATACCTTATATTTTTTTAACAGAGGAAGTATTACTTTTATTTTTTTAATGAGGAAGACATTATATTGCACTTTTTGGATCATAATATAAAAGATTTTTTAGAAACTCTGCTTGATGGACAATTAGATATTGAGTAGGTTGTATTTTTTTTTAATTATACCATTATTTTATGGCAAAAATACACAAAATACCATCAATTTTCTCAATCTCATCTTTAGAAGTTGAAAAAATCACACCCTTAATTTTTAAGATTTTGACATTGACCTCTTGTTGTTAAAATGACCATTAAATTATAGTTGATACAAAAAGTATAGGCTTTGAAAATAGCTCTGTTCTTGTGCTCTACCCCATGAATGAAAAATCTCCACTCCATCCCAACTTCATCTTCTCAGCTTCACCGGCCAAGGAAGAGATCATGAATCCACCTGCATCTAAAGAAGAAATCGACTCATTACTCAAAAACAACTCAAAGCCAGATGAGGAAATGATTGACAAAAATTTAAAGGCACAGCAAGAACCAGAAATTGAAATTTAACATGATAAGCCTTCTAAGTTAATGAATCACGATGATCAATCAAGAGTGATACATAATGGTGATGCTTCTGCATCTAATGCGAGTATTAATAGTCCATTAATGCTCCAATCATCTAAAACCCTTATCTCCTATGAAGATTTGCTTCTGGGATACGATGGATGTTTCGAGATCAATAATGGTAGAGAAACAAGCCATCTCCAAAATGAAGCTCTTGCTAAGGAATTGGACCAGAATTAGACACCATCGAAAAGGACAAAAAAGCTAATGGATCAATTCCTAGCTCTCCAAATCACTAATGAGGAGTGGAAAAAAATCTGCTTACTATGGATGAACGCGATAGTCATCAACATTCTGGGTTTACACCTCAATCCTAAATCTCTCAAACTCAAGTTAGCTAAGATGTGGCAACTAAAAGATTTTGAATTAGTAGATCTTGTTAACAATTATTATATTTTTAGAACCAAGGATCAATCAGCGTATGATAGAATTCTCACAAAGGGTTCATGGACAATCTTTGATCATTGTATTCTTATGCAATGTTGGTTACTTAGCTTTAACCTAAATTCTAATATCTTAGGAAAAATTGCGTTATGGGTCAAGCTAACTAATATTCCTATTCAATGTTATGACAAAGAGATAATATGGAGATTGGGTAATTGTATAGGGAAAAATTTGAAAGTAGACTCTAATTCCCTATCTAAATTTGACTTTAAGGATGAACAGGGGAAGACAGAAAGAGAAAAATTTGTGAGAATTAGTGTTGAAGTGGATCTGTAAAAAAATTGGTTCCTAGGTTTCTGATCAGGGACGAAATCTATAATGTGGAATATGAAAGTTTAAACGTGATCTGCTTTGGATGTAGTTGCTATGGACACAACAAAAACAATTGCCCTCACAATCCTTTGAACAAAAGTAAAAATAAAGCTAAAGAATGTGTAAATAATTTCGATCAACACAATAACATGAAGCAATAGTGCTCGAAGAAGGCAGAAGAACAGCATCAGAATCATATAGCTTAGGACTCACAAAAAAAAAAGCACCATCTCACCAAAGGAGATATTTAGAGAATGGATGAAGTACAAACATCTAAAAAATGCTTGATTTTTTAGGAACCCAACGGATAATCAGATTGCACGTCAAAATTACGAATTAAGCTTCACCTCCAAATTAAGATTTGACATTTTGTCCAGCCTAGAACATAATCAGATGGCAAAAAATAGGTAAAATCCTTCCAACGTTCCACCTAAAGCCCCTTTTATGAAAAATGTCAGAAAGGTATGGATGAAAAAGAATATGTTAGAACAAAAAGGGCTAGGCTAGATGAGCAAGAAGGAAATGATGAGGAAGGCATGGCTGGAGCTTGAAAGGAAGGAAAGAAGTTTGTTAAAGCCCCTTTAGCTATCAATGATGGGCCAAGTTTTAAATAGGACGGCCCAAGCATAATAAATCTAGACAAAGAGGCTTCAACCGAATGTCAGCCTAATAACACACCTAATAGGCCTTCTAAACGAGTCCACAATGTTGTGAGAGGAAATAAAAGAGACATGGGCTTTAGTAAGCCCATAAACGAAAATAACAAGATGATCATCTACTCTAAAAAGACTGAGCATACCGTATCTAAAGCTTTATTCTCCCTTGATCCTAAAGTCTGGCAATAATCAAATAGAGACAAAGAAATCAATATCAAGCAATATTCTAAATCCAACCCATGTTCTCACTTGACCATAGGATACCTCCAGACCCTGATCTCAATCTCAGCATTGTTCCTGAAACTTAATACAAAGAGGGCTATCCTAAAGATTTAAATAAATTAATGAGTCTGAATGATAATTAGAATGACCCTATTCAAATTAATGATGAAAATGATATCATTGATGATGACTTACTTGATGAAGATTATCAAAATTCTGTTCAAAATGATGATATGGAAGATGATGAATTTAATGATGACCCAGTTGAAGACTCCTTGGAAATCTTAAACAAATAGTCTATATCCAGGTTTATCTTCTCCATTTCTCCTTGGAAATTTAATGATTTAATTTGTTAGAACTGTAGAGGTGCTTGTGCTAAAAAATTTCTTAAATATATAAAAGAAATTACTAAAACTTATCACACTCAAATCCTTATCCTACTTAAAGCTCAAACTAGTGGCTCTAGAGCTAATAAAATAGTCAATAAGTTGGGTTTCTCTAATTGAATTTGAATTGAAGCAATTGGTTGTGCTGGCGGTATTTGGCTATTATGGGATAATAATATATTAACATTAATTATACTTATTCTAATGTTCAATTGTTGCATTGTAAGGTTAACATTTTAGCCAAAAATTACTCCTGTTTACTTTCATGTGTTTATGGTGATCCTAATCTTCTACATCATGATATGTTTTGGGATTCCATTACTTCTATAGCTAATAATAATTTTAATCCTTGGCTTGTCATAATGATTTTAATTCTTA